AAGAAACTCCTTGACAGTGTTAATTTTGCAATGCATTTTTAAATTCGTAAGGCTAGTTAGCCAATGCAACAATCGGCTCAGTTTTGGTTACCCAGCCAAAGACATGCAAAGGGGAAATAATTAGCCTTTCAAAAGACCACTGAAGCCAATACGTTTGGGGCTCTACATACAAAGATTTTCAGATCTTTTACAGATCCTACGAATACTGGCCGTATTTTCTTTCTCGTTTCCTTTGCTACAAGTCCTCTAGTTATTCTAGTACAATACCACTGAAAGTTGGATTTCTTTTCGCCTATTCCTGTTCTATCTCCGCAAACGTGTGTTTCTCAGGTAGCGTTCAATACAACGCACATCCTTCCTGTTTTGGCTCCTGATGTCAATTTTTCCTCGAATGACGTCACTTGCCATTAGCAGCAATTTGTTTGGGTAACAAACATTCCCACATAAGGTCAAGACTTTTAAGTTTGAACGGAAATAGCACTTACGTACAAATCAAATTGTCTAAAATGCCCTCGCCAACCGTTGATATGAATTATTATTGTCAGGGGCAAAACAAAGGGAAATACTGCATCTGAACGAAAAAGAAATCAGACCAAAACGGCCACGAGAAGAATAATAGACAATTGTACAAGTTTAATTACTTAATACCTTTTCCTCCGCTTATTAATTATTAGGTAGCAAGTTGCTATGGCCTAGCTTATAGAAACTCTTGACTGAAAGACTCACTTTATGAGATACATGACGTGTATACATTTTTCGACCAAAGTCTAAATTCGGTATTTCAAGTTACAGGTTCCCTCCTGTTAAAAACTTTTTAAAAGCACATTTGATCGATTTACGTCTCTCGTTGAGGGAAGGATATCGTGAACTTGATGCGACTTGTCAAGACGGCATGGGCAAACCCTCTCACTTGTGTACGTTAACATTTTTTCGTGACTGTAGCTTTGCACTGTAGCTGTTATGAATCGGCGTGTAATATTTGAAATCGCCGATTTGCTGACGTCGAATGAAAGTATTGTTACAAGTGTAAGAGAAGTACTCAAAGTACATTTTTCGAATGTGACTTATTTGCGAATATCTTTTCAATTTAAAGCTCGTTATCGAATGATATACAATTTTTTTTATCAAGGAAGTTTAACTGTACTGTTGTTTACAATTGGCACCGTTCGTGAAAAAAAATATATATACAAGAAATGGCGAACCTCGTGCCACGCTCCGGAAGAGCTACGACAAGGTTGTCACTCGTCTGCGATATCAAAGCAAAATATTTTTCATGCTATGGTAACTACGAAGTGGATGGATAAAACACGTTTTTCTAATTTTCAGTATTGTTGTCCCGTTTCTGCCTCCTGAGGAAGCTTACAAATGAAAAAGGAAATACTAAAATCACGCGAGTAAAGCCCCTTTGATCAAATTCAAAAGATTTTCAAACACAAAAGAGCGTGTCGCTTCGATGAAGAAGTAATATTTTACACTGCATTTCAGCTTATGTTAATTGTGATTAATGCAAAATAAAATATTTGAAGCCGTATTTAACTTCTGACGGTTCAAACGTGATTGCAATATTGATCACAACTAGGAACTAAACTTAAAAAAGACATGACACAAGGTCAACCGATTTTCTTGAAATCAGAGACGGATGAGTTGTGTTCCGATTCTTCTGAAGTGTCATTCATTTGGTCGTTGTTTAAGCTAGAATACATGTTTTTTGATTTGAAAAATAGCCTAGATACAACAGAACAACCATAACGTTTTGCTAATTTTCAGCGGTTGACTGTCGTATCTGCCTTATAAGGAACGCATGCAAATGACAAAAACAAATAAATTCATCGCTGAGCGCGTGTCTTGGTTGATCAAATGCTGAAGTAACGCAAGTAACGCCACATTTGATCAAATTCAAAAGATTTTCACATACAAAAGAAGTGAAACGCTTCGATGAAGTGGCAATATTTTACATTTCATTTCAGCTTACTTTCATCGCAATCTATAACAAAATAAAACGTTTGAAGCCGCATTTTAACCCCTGACAGTTCAAACGGGGCGTGACATTGATCACAAGTAGGAACCAAGCTTAAAATGGATATTACGCAAGGCCAACCAAAGTGCTTTATGCTTCAAAATTAGTGAACGATAACTTGTCTTCTGATTCTTCTGGAGACATATTCATTCAGTCGTGTTTTAAGCTAGAATATATGTTTTTGATTTGAAAATCGCATAGAAACTGCTGTACAAACATAATGGTACTTGAAATGTGTAAAGCGCTCTTAACTTGCGAATGAAATGAACCGGAAATAGAGTAAAAAGGAAGCAGTGTGTTTTCGCAGTCCAACATGTGATTGGTGGAGACAGAGTCACTCCACTGTTTATGCCTCGAACGCATGCGTCAAAATTTGAAGCTTCCTCTTACAGTCAAAATTTTATATTTTTCTAGTTGTTCAAGAAGTTTTTGTATGATCTTCGAATCTTTTTGGTGCTACATTTTGTTATTGCTACGATACACTGAAGGAATATCCTGTATATTGCTAGAAACTGAGCGAATGGAAACGCTAGATTAATTTATCACGGAAAATCTGTCGCACCTGTGAACTGGCCCTTCGATATTCTTCAGAAATCGTCATCGAACTTTGAACATCCAATGTTTGTTAAACTAGAGGCTGTATGTTTCAGGAGACATCGATCTAAAAAACGCCATGAAGAGAAGATGGACTCCTAAACAAAATGGCTGAAACTAATAATCGAGGTAGGCAAAGATTTGTTGTTTTATGGAAAGCAGACACTGTGATCATTCAGTGAGAAAAATATCACTTTGGTGTACTTTCCTGAAGTGTTGTTTAGTTTGAACTGTAGCTGCTGGGGCTATGGCATAATAACATATTCGTATGAACCAAAAATTGTACAAGGAGTTTTTACATAGCTTTTGCTTAATCATGATAACTGTACTCAAGATTTTGTTTCAATTTTCATTCAACGATGATCGACCGGTCTCAGCGATATTGTCGACATCGCCGTCTGACTTAAAAGGTTTGCCTCAACTCGTCGAATCCCTGTGATTAATTACTAAGCTTAAGCTGTAATTCTCATGTTGTAGAAGATGTCAGAACCTCCACCGCTTCAGAAAACGGGCTTGTTCTTCCGTGGGGACAGCCACCAGAGCGGCAGACAACCGCTGCTGCATCTGATGTCACTCCCGGCGAATTTGTCCTGAGACATTTATTCAAAGACTTCACTGATCTTGCCGAGAAAAAGATCGAAACTATTCTGACCGAACCTTTGGTAAGCCTTTACATAAATATTTATTTTCGATCCATAGTTTTGGCGAGAGCGGGCTTCGGGAAAGATTAGTGAGTGACAGTGATTTCTCGATGATGTGGACGATAAAAATATCCTTACCTCCTACTTGCGAGGTTTGTTTACAATTTTTTGACCGTATCTTGTGTCCGATTTTGGAATAATTGATGTGTTCCAATTTACCCGATAATAAAGAAACACTTTTTGTAAGAAATGCGGTTTCTTTTTTCAGCCAAAAATGTTGATTTATTTAGTATCTTACGGTGACGATAAAATGCCTACCACGAGAAACAAT